GGTCGTTGGAGAATGCTCGTCGCGTAGCCATTTGGTGGGCTGACACGGATTCAGTGATAGTAACCGCGGCGATGACGGCGACGAAGACGGAGAGAGCCTTTACCATGGTTGGTTGAAATGGGTAGAAGAATGTTGTCGTAGTAGTTGGTGTTGTGAGAAGTTGCAAAGTGAATGATATTGTGAAGCTGGAAAATAATAAAGCTATTGAAGGTGATAGTGTTTGGTGGCTTGTTGGCATCGGATCCCCGGAATTTAAGGTGGCGCATCGTCATGCAAGATAGCGCTCGCACTTATGGCTTACGTGCTTCTGCTGTCCTATCTTCGATCGGAATAGATCATCAAATCCCAGCGTGAATGCGACGTGCACAGGACTTCGAAATACATGTAATACTGAGTGATAAATTCACTAGTTGATCACCACATACTTACAATATCGGAGAGATTAGCCCATCTACAGAAATAATCCATCCGAACCATTCGCTCACTATTTGGAGAGCTGCATGTGCTTGCCGTATTAATAGCATCTTGACACTACTTAACTGCTTTCACGTCGCTGGCATGCAGTTTCATGGTGACACCTCAGTCTCAACGTCACACCATTGTTAACAGTAAGGTTCCCAACGCCAAGCAGCTCTCCGTGAATCGCTATTAATCGAATCTTGATTCGTGGCGATTTTCTCGCACGAGTACTCAAATGATTAACGCGAGGTCAGAGTGACGCTAGCCATTGTAAGTTGCAGTTGCAGATGCCCCGTGAGACTCAAACGAAGTCCAGCGTCAGGAGGTAGACGACCAGTCTCACCTGCAGTGCCGCCACTGCACCAGATAGTGGCGCACGTTGTGGATTGGTTGAGCACACTGCAGTGATCAAATCCAGCGTGAAACAAGATCTCAGAATCTTGATAACCACCGGGCGATTCCGGCGGTAGTGCCGCGGATATCTTTCCCAATTTTACGCTTACTGGAACAGTTTAACAGACGATCATGCAGCCAGAAAACTAACTCCTTCACTATCTTGGCGACCGCGATAGTGAAGACCGAGTCGGTAGTTATACCAAGTTCGAGCCATCATGGTTCCCTCAACAGCGTTGGAAATTCCTCATAGTCGCCTAACAACTCGGCCACTGAATTCACACTGACATTTTCCAATATCCCTCCAACAACACAAATTAACAATGGTCAAGATTCTCTCCGTCTTCGTCGCCGTCATCGCCGCGGTTGCTATCACTGAATCCGTGTCAGCCCACCAAATGGCTACGCGACGAGCATTCTCCAACGACCAGCGCAAACTATTCGTTGCCAACGCCAAGCATGCACTCGGAGACTGCACCAATACCGAGCCCATGCGCAAGCTCCAAGAGCGTGCTGTGG